AAAATGTATACCTATTTACATATGTACATTATACATACATTTACGTAAGTATATTTAGTTTTAAATTAAACCACTTCTCTCATAAATTCCTGCGTATATATATAGTTTACGACATGATTTAAAATTAATACGAAATTCGTGAAAATATAAATCCTTAATGATTATTAAATGCAAAGAAAACAAAATTAAAACAACCTCTTATTTAATACATACACAAGTATATATACATATATATACATATGTATATATTTATTTTCAGATGACATTTCTGTCTTATTATTTGCAGGAGAAAAAACGAAAGGAATGAAACGAAAAAGTCTGAATACTTACAACATTTGTTTGCAAAGTATTTAATCTAAATTAAAAAAAAAAATATATTATATACATATGTATGTATATTATTATAAATTTATTGATATGTTCGTGTTTAAGCACCTAGTACCAGTTAATGAATGACAAAGTACCAAAAAGTCCCTTTTTATAGGTTTTCATTTACTCCGGAATGTACATGCTTAATTTTATGTTTCTAGTTTCCAGTTAATGAATGACAAAGTACCAAAAAGTCCCTTTTTATAGGTTTTCATTTACTCCGGAATGTACATGCTTAATTTTATGTTTCTAGGTTCAATATTATAGAAAACTAGCTATACCCAGTGTGCTTTGCTACCCTAAAAACAATATAAATGAAAACGTCGCTTTATGATGTTTTTTTATTCTACCTCTAATATTTTTCCAGATATGCGATTTTGTGTATTTACTTCATGTGGGAGATGCCACGCCAACTTTTGGAAGTTTTCCAAACGTTAATTTGGATTTTAAATAATCTATGAAAAATCTTAATAATCTAATAGTATTCCAGATATACGAAACTTTTGAGGATTTTTGCTTTTATAGTTTCTTAGATATACGATTTTTTGTATTTAATTCACGTTTTTTTTTTTTTTGCATGGAAATGCATATGTTTGTATAAAAATGTTTGTAACAATTTTATTATCTTGTTATAAAAAAGAAGAAATATGAATGTTTTTACATTAAAAAACATGCCATATTTTTAAAAAATTTAGCACAACTCACTGCTTTTTTAATCGAAATTGAGCAGCGTTGGAAACCCAACTTAATGTGCTTCTTTTAAAAGGCAATAAAAGTTTCTGGTTCAAGGCCAACGTAGAGCATGATGAAAATTAAAAATTGTGAAAAAATGTGAGTTTGTTTACTTATGAACTAGACGAAGTGATCGGGACTCTATGGATTATAATGAAATGGAATTAGTATTATTTTTTCTCTCTATTTCTGACAAATAGAAGATTAATCGTTATTATTTAGAATTTTCGTTTAATAAAAAAATTAACCAAATTTAAAGTTTTTTTTTTTTTTATTCTTAACACGTAAAAATACACAAACATAAATCCATAAAATTCCTCCTTAAAAAAGAAAATAAATACACACGTTGGAGTCATAAAAGTAAAATTTTTTTAACATTTGTTAATGATATATGTATGTAAATAAATAATACTAATATTAAGTACAAGAAAACGCATAAAAGCAATAAATTTCTCTTAAATTTAAATTAAAAACAGTAATGCAATTATAAAAGTTAAACATTTTCACTTTATTTGAAATATTTATTATTATACTAAATTTGATTTTATTGCTGTAACTGATAAAAAATTCTAATTATTTGCTTAAATGGTTTATTTAATATTCTTAACATAATTATACTAATTTTGTGGAAAACATCATAAAATAATATTTACAATTATCTATTATTTTGGCCGACACATATTAAATAATGGACTAAAAAGTTAAATCTTTATTATTTAAATGAATTTATTACATATTTACTTATTTTAATTTTGTATATTTTTACGGGTAATACTTCATACATACTTAGTATGTAGTATGTAACTATATGGAAAATTTAACAGTTATTTTTTGAATCTTAGTTTTATATGTAAATTATCTATCATCGCGACGAGTCGCTATTAAATCCTATTTTTATTTTTTCTTCATTTTTAATTGTGGTTACTATTACTTCCATACCACTTTGGATTCGTTTAATTGTCTGTATAATTTAATTAATTTCTAATGAGACTACATCACAAATAATTATCCAACTCATTTCCTGCTTTAAATGTGCCAAGAATGGAAAATGAAGGAAGAGGAAACTAAACAAAAAGCAAACTCCATGTGAAAATTCTTAACAACGTGTCTTTTTAAACTGTAGCAAGGAAATAGTTTTTACCAAATTATTTACATTCATTTGCTTTAAGCAAGTAAATAATTGTGAGGCACATTATAAGCACGTTTAGGAACATTTTTCAGAAAATTTTGTAATCTAAATTGATCTGGTACACACGGACGGATATAATACGGACTATACTCGTGTAGGGGTTCGAACTACAAAATAGTGTTGAATTTCCTCTGATCTCTTTTGTTTCGTAGAAGTTAGGCTTTATTATTTTAGGAAAATTTGGACCTTTAAAAAATAAATAAAAATTTCTCAAAGACAATAATAAGAAAATATAAAAAAAATAGTTCATAAAAAAACTAAATTCAAAAAAGATAAATAATTAATGTTGTAAAAAAATCCAATATTTTTTAAAATATTTTTTCCGAAGATTGAAAAAGTAGCTAACTGTTTTGCAAATATGTATGTCAAACTTTGACGCACTGTACCTCAAAGAGTTCTTGGTCGATCTTGTTAAAAAAAATTATCTAAACTTCTATTAAAAAGGACTAACATTGGTGAAAAAATTCTTTTTTAAAAGAGTCGCTTGACATGAAAGTAACATTATTAGAAAATTATTCAAATAATTTTAGTAAAAATAAAGTTTTTTTCACCAAATTTACCTAAAAAATAGGTTTTTATTATCTGGACAGCATTGAAAATAAAGTAGTGCTGTGGTATTTTTCCGCCCAAAAAAAGTAATCACCTTAATATACATACATATGAATGGTTATGTACATAATTTGTGAATATAGAACGAAACGTTAATAACAACATGATAACATCTATTTTTGTGGTAAATAAGTTGCTCATACAGAGGAGTATACATACATACATAAATAGACTAATATCCGTACAAGCATGGCGATACGAATATAATATGAATTTGTATTGCTTAGAAGAACACAATTACTCCGACAACAATCCTATTCTTCTTTCAGATGAAATTGTGAGTCAACAATGATACTCCTAATCAATGCGAAATAAATTCTGCTGGAAGTTAAAAAAGTGAAAATAGCTTCAGCGATCCTTGTGATGGGTTGTGATGCCAATGCGCATCATTATCAATGAGGCAGCAAGGACATCAATAAAAGAGATCAGTTAATGTTTTTTTATAACTGATAATAATCTCAAAATCTGTAGAAAGGGCGATACGCCGACGTTGAGGAACAAAGATAGGGAGGCAGTTATTGATTTAACTTTAATTAAACGTTTAGAAGATCTCGCTAGGGATTGAAAGGTTGCAACGGCTTGTTCATTTTCAGACCATAGTCGCATTACCTTCACACTGGATTTTGTTTTGGCTAGGAGTGCACCTTTTAGCGATCCTAGGAAGACAAATTGGAGAACCTTTAATGATAGGGTAAAGTTTGGGTTTGTCTTGTGCGATTTATTACCAACTGATTTAGAGGGGTTGTAAATAAGTTCCAGCTCAACTATGTGCCAAATGATTTTAGACCTATTAGTCTATCTTCTTTTCTCTTGAAGACACTTGAGAGACTGATAGATCTACATCTAAGGAACAATATTGATACTCACGTTATAAGTGGCGCACGAGTGCCGGTGTCTATAACGCTGATATCAACATAAAACGGTCTGTCAGACTTCCTGACGAATGAAGTGTCTTTCATGCAGATATTCTAGCTATCTGGAAAGCGACGGAACTGATAGGGAATCATATCGACCCGGGTCGGTTGAGACTATTTTTGTTGATAAACAAACTGTTCAAGCATTAGCATGTCTCACGGTACATTCGCACCTGTTTACAGATTGTAGGAATGCTCTTAGTAACATTTTGAGACAGTTTGTCGTTAGATTGTGTTGAGTGCCAGGGCACTGTAACGTGCATGATAATGAGGTTGCGGACGGATCAGCTAGATTATGTTCGAACGTTGATATAGCGGACAGGGAAAGGATGGTAAAACCACCCATTTGTCACTATAATAGGTTGATATTCGAGAAAATAAATGATATCATCAACCAGTCCTGGAATAGTATATTGGATTGCAAAATATCAAAGGCCCTCTGGCGCAATCATGATATGGGTGCTACCAAAATACTTATAGGACTGGATAGACGCAGTCTAAAAGCTCTGATAGAGATTCTAACTGGGCACTGCTCAGTTAGAACTAAACATGATTTCAACGAATTATATTAAATTCATCTGTGTCAAAATGTAAAAAATCTGAAAATTTTCCCAAAAATTTAAAAATTTCGATTACTTTTGCGGTTACAAAAAAAATTCTGATATGGAATTTAAAGCGTCTCTCAAGGACCTTTCTAATGGAAACGGTTCTTTTGAGCAAAAAAAAAACAACAAAAACGTTCATTTTGGAAAAATGTGGGAAAATTAAGAATTTTAAAAAAATTAAAAAATAAATAATTGTTTTTTTGGAAACAATGAATGGACAATTTTTGCTAGGACCAATACGTGAAAAGTTGCACTCATTGCGTCATAAAACCCTGTATGACGAAAATGTCCAACTTTGACCCGCTCTAAGTTTGTGTTTGGCCTACTATCCAATAGTACTAACCATGGTGAAAATTTCATCCGAATAGGAAGACATCGATTTTAAAAGTTGGGTCACTTGACATGAAATTGCCCATATATAAATACATACATAACTATATACAAAATTAATTTTTGTTAATGTTTTTTTTCATTGCTTATCGTTTTTGTTCATTATACAAAATATATACAAACCTACATATATATACATGTATATATTTTGGCAAACACGCATCGAATAATACAAATATTTTTACGAAAACACCCACATATTGCAAGATACATACATATATTCTTCATTAATTCCCTTACATACAGATAGACGTTCACAAATTGCCTCAAATCACGCAAATAGTGCCTAAATTGTTGGTTATTTTTCTAAAAACGCACACTAGGTTTGCTTAGCCTACAAAAAAAATACATACATTAATCAGAAATACATTGATAAATCATAAAATAAATTAAAGAAATGGTTAACTAGGGAAAATTAATAACTAACTATTATTAGTTTTTCATTATCTACACTCATACCTGCATAAAATACTAAGTATATAGTACATAATATATACATACATATATTTTTTTTAGGTAGGTCTATCTAAAGTCTTTTACTATTTTAATTAAATTTATTTTTAAAATAAACCTAGCCGATTATGGCCAATCGGTTACAAATTTCTACTATTATTATATTTACTATGTATAACTTGAAATTTGTATAATTTTGGAATAAATGTAGGCATCTGATTACAATGTAATGTAATGTTCGAATTTTAAAAATTCCATTCGATGTTCCTATCTGCTTTATTGCAATAAAAATTTGGATTTTTCTAATACTTTTTCGTATAAAATGCAAATTTACATTGACATTTGATTTATGAAATATTTATGTATCCATGGTTCATCATCAACATTCTATTTTCATTAAATAAACATAACAAATAATTGAATCTTATGATGACAAGAAACTGGAAATATTAAAAATATGGGGGAGCATAGTAACCAAGACATCGTCATCACTGCTGTAAATATATAGACAAAAATTCATAGAATACTTTACTACATCATGTTTTCTTCCCAATTATCCTCAGCTGAGGACCTTTGAGTAAAAATTAAATATGTATTTATTTATATTTATGTATGAGTGTATAAACAAATGTGCAAAATTAAACAAAAATTATATTATTGTCTTTAATCAAATAGAGTGAATAAAAATAATAACATCTAGAGTAAAAAGTAACTTTTTACGACAACGAAAGTAAAATTTATACTAATTCTTATTTTAAAGTTAAATAATGTACTAAAGTGAACTGGGAACATACGTAGTATGTATGATGGTTTTGAGAACTCAAAGAAATCGTATCCAGTTGAACATAATTTTAGGTAGTTTTAGTTTGGTTTTAATTTAAGTCAGCGTAAGAAACATAATGAACATTTTTTATTATTCATATCGCTATGTAGTAAGGCTGGCATAATCCAAAATTTATAATTTCTTTCATATAGATTTATCGAATTTCAAATAGTGTGAAATCAATTTTTTTGTGGTAAACGTAGAAACTAAAGTTATTTGAACAAATAATAAAATGTCATTAAACATTCAAAGCTATTTTTCTCGAAACACCTTTTTCTGTATTATGCCAGTCTTGTAGTAAATGAGCAATATATCCATCTACGCCGTTGATGTTATTCTTTTTAATCATTATAGATTTTAATTTTCTATTGTAATTAAATTTTATGATTTTCATATATATGTACATACATATGTATATACATAGTTATTCACAAAGTTGAGTAATCAGTTAGCCACCCATATATAGATTTTTTTATTATTTTTGTTTCTCTGCTCTATTTTTTTTACTATTTTTGTTTTGTCTTAATATTCGGTTTTGTTGTTTTCGTCTCCTTAACATTGTCACTTAGACACTGAGTCACACACTGATTTAGTCAGTTTGTTTTTTTTTAATTTTTGTAGGATATCTTCTACACAAGATTTCATTATTAATATAATAAGATATAAGATACGTATACTAGTGTATGTATTTATTAGAGTGTTCCTTAAACAGCATTTTTGGGAATCTGTGTTAAATATGCATAAAATAATAAATTTTGATCTTCAGATCCCTCCCAACGATTCAAATTTAAGATTCAGTACAATTTTTCAAAATACAAGTTTCGCAAATAATTTCGAAATGAGTGTAAAAAATTCCTTTAAGATGAGAAGGTTTTGCAAAAATAAAAAGTTATTATGATTTAACGGTAGGGTGTATCTAATTCGCTCCTGTTATTTGTTTATTTCTCACAAGGTTTATTTTATTCATTATTATTTCGTTTCTGTTATTGATGTTGTGAGTTTTTTATGTTTATAGTCCTTACAAAAGGGAAATTACTAAAATCATGTCGCCATTTTTATTATTTTTGTAGTTTATAACGGAAGTATGTTTTGCTGTTTTTGTATTCCGTTGTTTATTTCTATTTTGTGATGTGTTGGCATAGACATGCTTAAGCTCTTATCTTCTATTAAGATTTATTGGAACTTGGTTACAAGAAGTCATATACATTAGGGTAGCCCCAAAACGTAAGTTGTTAATGAGCCCGTCGAAAATTAAAAATTAGGTAATTCTAATATACCATGTTTGGTGAGCTGGATCAGACTACAAAAAGGTTTTTTTTTTTTGGTTTTTATGATTTTTACACATTTCTTACTAAGAAAATACAAATACGCAAATTTGGTATCATATGAAAGCTTCATTCAATGTCAAAAGTACATAATTGAAATTATTAGACACTAAATATGATATAAAGTCTTTTCGTTTACAAACAATTTTTTATTAGTTTTACTATTTACGACTTTTTTAAGCTTTTTGTTTCTGCACACAAATAATTGAAAAATACATATGGGGAATTTCATGTCAAGTGACCCAACTTTAAATCTTTTACTTAATTTTTTTCTTAAAAATAAGACAATAAATATACTACAATATGGAAATTACAGTTTGTAAACTAAATAAATTATATTCAATACAAAAATCTTCGTGTCCGTATCCGATTTAGTCCTCTTTTATAATATTTATTGATTTGTATAATAACAATCTATCATCTATCAATTTATCTCTAATAATACACTATATTTAACTTGTTTAACACCAGCACATGCCAAGCGAACAAAAACCAAAACAAATGCGATGATTTCCCTGCCAGCAACTCAACTAACTTTTAATTCACTATACATAAATAAACTTTTTCTCAGTTAGTTGTGGTTGATACTTATATTATGTTAAATGGAACCAACCGATCGTGCTACTTAAAGCTAGTTAAAAGTTAATTAACAATATGTAATTTAAAAAAAATATGTTTTTGTATAAAAATATCACATTGAATTACTGGAGTCTTTGAATATATCACTTGTTTTTAGGATTTTTAATTTGGCTTCTTTTTAATATAAAAAGATCACTTATAGTACGTACTTAGTAGTACCTAACCCTATCATTAGCTCATTTTTTTTGGAAAGTGGACTCACACTACTTTAATTAACTACAAATTATCAGTTCAATTATGCAAATATTAAAAACAAAGAAATCTGAAAGAAAATTGGTTCTGTTCATTCTTTAGATCAATAAAGTAGTTGTATATTCAACTGGATAAAGTTTCTTTTTATAAGATTATTAAGGTTTATGTAATTTGATGGTATTATTTTGTACAAACATGTTAAAACTTGACTTTTTATAGCAAAAATCATAAAATCCGCACATCTGCATAAAACGGTTGTACATCAATAATGAACTCCACTCTTACACTTAAATCTGTGCCACTATTTTTATATTGCATTTGGTACTAAATAAAATTATAGACATAACAATTTACACTTATTTATCATATGAATTTACATTTACACATTGATTGTATTGCACACCAATTTATCCATGTCGCTCATTTACTACAAGACTGACATAAATTAAAAATCATTTTTTTAACAGAGTACTAAAAATTTAGATTCGTTTTCTCCAAAGCAAAATAGTGGCATCATAAAAATATGTACATATTATTAAAAATATACCTATAAAATTTTGTCCAAAAGCTGATTTTTATGTAAAAATAATTTGGATTGATCTGGTACCCAGGACTTTTAAAATTCTAAACATTAAAAGCCGTTTTTCTCGAATCGAAGTTTTTTAAGTTGTTCTAATTTTGTAGTAAAAGAGAGATGTGTATAAACGTACATATGTATGTACATTCATTCTATGAACGTATGTATTTGAATGTATCTGTGCAAGTAGTTCATATCAATATAATAAAATAGTAGTTGTTACTGTAGTTTTATTTAAGTCACGCAATAGAAATAATAAAAAATAAATATATGTACATATACATATGTATACATATATGTATGTACATTAGGCTTATAACTTTTATAAAATTTTTGTGAATTTCAAATCGGCCCTATTCATTCCACATAGAGCATACGCCGAAAAAGTATATTACTTTTTCCCGAGCGTTAAAAAAGTTTTCGCGGCAAATACCTTGAAGTTTTCGATATTTACTCTAAATAAAATTTTAAATTTTTTAATACAAAACTGGAAATTCTTGATATAAACTAGTATCATTGTTTGACCACGACATCTGTACAGAGAAGAGTCAAGGATAGGGGCGGCGGTTTACCCTCCCCCTCCCCTTTTCAAAATTAGCTTTCAATAATTTATATTATACTTTAAAAAATTCATGAAAATTTGTTTGTGAATGGTTTTAGAAAATCGATTTGCCGCGGAAGGTTTTTGCACCAAAATGCCCTGAGAAACAGGTTTTCGTTATCAGAACACTATTGGCTACTACGTAGTGATAGTGCCTATTTGTGGTTATAACCCTAATGTACATATATACGAAAATATACTACAAAATGTTACGAATCCTTTTACTAAAGAGTGTTTTATAAAACAAATATCCATTTTCTAGAGACCATTACAAAGTCCTCTAAAGATGTAGGCCGTTGTGTATGATTTTTTTTGCATGAATATAAAAATAACAATTTGTTCAGCATAAACATAAATTTTTATTTAAATTTTAAGACCACATTTAAATAAATTTAGATCTATTTTTACTGTAATCTTTAACAAACGAATGGGATGAGCATTTTTTTAGATCTGATTGTGTGTAATGATAAAATTGGCTGTCAACATAATATTTCAAATGTTAGAAACATTAATTTTAAAGATGGGAACCAAATTCATAAGGGCTAAATGCGTTCAGTGCTATCACAAAAATGAGCAATTCATCGCGGGTTTTTGATATAGTTTACTTACTAATATTCCGGGATTTTGATAGCAAACATTTTTTAAGATTATTTAACAACTTGATGTTTTCACAGAATATTTCTATATTGTGGCATTGATTTTTGTCCACAAGATTTATTGAATT